ATGAGTAATACTTATCTATATTAAATGCATAAATATACATATATATAAAAAGGCACTTCTTTCATAGAATGAATTAATAGATGAATAAAAACGTGTCCGATAAAATAATTAATACAAGTTTTAAATTTAGTGTTAAGTAATTTATAAAAAAATTAATAAAAATTTAAAATTGTATTACTCTTTAAACGTTTAGAAAGATTAGGATTTCTAGTATTTCCAGCAATTTTATTAATAAAACTTACATTCTGAATACCTAAAAACATATTTCAATTGTGTCGAAGTTACCTATCGCCTTTTGTTAACTGTATTTTTAATTGTACCACAAACTTTTTTCAACAATGTTTGGTATGACCAAAACTATGCAAAGAATTTTATTTGTTTATTTACAATATATTTGAAATAAATACTCACGCCTTGGATAAAATTTTGAATAATAACAGTCCATGTCACTAGTAAATAATTTCACAGCATCGATATTAATTTCACTGTTAATTTGTTTACCATTCACTCGCGCGTTACATGTAAAACGTTTGACATTTCATAAAATAAGCTGACAAGTGACATCACTACGCGCAGAATACGTCAAATCGCATGCAGCCACAAACGCGACTGAAGTGTATCGCAGGCGAACGATACCATACCGCGTCTTTCGAAAATTGCGCCATCCCAGTAGGCACACTCAAGCGAATTTAACAACACAAAAGCACCTTGAGCACACTTCATTCCCGACAGCTTGCCTAAATGCAGCTGAATCCTAAAACTAGATAATGTTTACATCGCGAAATGCCGACACCCGAACGACCGGAAGTCGCAGCGAAGCAAACACGACAACTATGTAAAATATTGCAGGATCGCGATCGCATTGTTGACATTCCCTAATAAAAATCACTTATAACTTGAGTTGATTGTATGAAAATTGTATCAAAAATAATTTTTACTCACCTATTACGGCGCTTGAGGATGAAGTGAAGGGACGAATTTTGATTAAATGTCTATTTAGGAGTAAATTTAAAGAATATACTCTTATTGGTATGCGAAGAATGGCACAAAGAATCCCGACAACGCACGCGACGAATGCGCACCTCGTTTGCGCATATGCTGACACAACTTCACGGACGTTACTCCCCTTGCCCCGCGCTCACCCGGTTTGCTTTGTTTGTGTGCATAGCTAGAGTGGTCAAACGTGAAATTTTATACACGTATACACTAACACATTCACAATTTGTACCTGCCCTAGCTTCCAAATGCCGCCATCTTAGAAATGAAAGAGATGCAACATGTTTTCAGCTCGTGTTATCATAACGTGTACTGCCATCTGTAGAATCACTTGCACAACCAAAACAGTTGTTAGATGGCGCTGTAAGCCATTTCATGCTTGGTCAATGAATTGTCTTTTAAATCTCTCTTTTCTTTTATCAAATAATACTAATCGTAATAAATAGATCCTATTATCCATTTCGTTATATATTTATGGATAACTTTTTAAAGCTGTTCTTTTAGGTTAACTAGACATGTTTTAAATTTGTAGGTTATCGTTTTGATTATGCTTTCTAGAATATACCTCTCTTATAAACCTAGATAAAATAACTATGTACTAAGTAATTGTGGCGAGTAAACTTTCAAGTTATATTCTAAAGGGCCCTACATACGACAAATTTTATATTCGTATATTGAACTTGGTGGTACCTACTAAAATAGAATATTAAAATTTACTATTTCTAAATTGGGTAGTGAAACCACAGAGTCACAGAATACTACCACTACTGCGGACAGCAAAACAAATAAGTATTCATTACGATAAAGGTATTTATTGTTGAAAACAAACACATGTCCACAAATCAGACAATTTTTTTAGCAGAATTCTATTATTAAATAATACAGTTATAATTTATTAACTAATAACAATAATTACAATAAACATATTCAGTCAAGTCATGACACCAATAACTTTTAGGTACATCACATTTCACCTTAAATTTAAAATTAAATGAAAGTAAGTACAAATATAATGAATATTAAACGAATGTAAAAGTGATGTAAATGTATCAAATTTTAGAGAAGTTTTTTTCATCTATGTACCTAAAATGTAATTGTTTCTGTGCTTTATGGTATTAATCGTAGGATGTTATCTATTATGTAGGTCTAGAATAATACGTAACTCTAATAGTAATTTTAAAGCATTTAAATACTACAATATAAAACGCAAGTTACAAACAACTACACTCTATTTTTAACAAAAGTTTAATAAATTCAACAAATGCATATTGCATAATAACTTAGTCTTCATTATATTAATTTAGCGTTAAATTATTTTGTAATTAGATGTGGTTATAAATCTATTTTCAAAGATAATTGCCAAAGACTTATTCTTTTTCGTTAAATGAATCGTTAACAGCACTTTTTTTTAAATATAACTATTTTTACATAATTTAAGAAAAATAGACAAGTTTTGCATATTATAATTATGCACTACATTAATTGGGGCAGGCACTAGGCTGTGTAAGTTTTGTGTCACTAGTACCTATTGCATAGCGGTTACTCAAGAAGTGTGTGTAGACTAATTACCTATAACTACATTTCTATTTCTTGTATAATTTTATATGCTCGTAAAACTGCAGATGTATAAAAAGAAATTAATATGAATATTCTATTGATATTTTGCAAATGTATTAAAACGGAAAAGGACCTAAGTTACTTCTTTTAACAATGTTTTTTAAAAGATATGATTTTGGGTATTTTTAACTTTGTATTTCGATTTTTTTAATACAATAGCGCCTTGTTAAAAATTAAGGTTTTCTAAATCTCTTCTGATGAAAATCAATAGACTCTTTTTGTGCTTTAAAAAAATACAACCATTACAACATAAAAAAAGATTATTGAGAATGACTTCCATTTAAGAACTTTTATGCCACAACACCACATGCAATTGTTTAAAAAAAAGAGGTTTGTCATAAAACATAAAAAAACGAACGACACGTAATTACACTCACATAGAAAGTCGATTATTTTGAGATAAGATATGTTTTGTTTGAATACACAGTTTGGTAATAATAATAATATTGGTCCTTTTAATAATTCAAGAATAAACATATTAGGTATTTTATTTACTTTTAGCTAAAATATATTACTTTTGACAGTGAGTGTTAATGGTTTAAATCTTTTCATATATGAATTTTATTATTAATGTTTTTTTAAATTAATGTTAAAAAAAAACTTTGTTTTAGAAATAAAATCTGCCATGCTTTACTCTAGTTTCGCGATTGCCATTGAAATGTGGTGAAAAGGGCGAAGGCAACAACCAACAATGCTAATGAAAATTACTTACTTTCTATTTTTCTTTAATTTTTATTCTATTACTGTTTTTTTAAAATTATAATTACACATTTACGTGAAATCGATTTAAGAATGAAAACAAACGACATAAGAATTGCAAATGACGTTGTTTATGATCTGCAAACTGCCTATTTAAATAAATAATAACTTATTTAACAGCAATATTGAATACAAAAGGCTTAGAAAGAATATAACAACTTACAATATATCTCCTAGTAGTTAAACTAGGCGGAACGTCAGAGTAATGTACCTATATACCTACAATTTTTGGAAGCTTCAAAAAAGTTCACTCACTCTGGGTTTTTCTAAATAAAAGAACCGATTAATATCAAGATGCTGGTACATACTAGGTAAGTATTTATTTATTACCAATTTGTACAGACTGGTGATTGTACTTTTATACAACTTTCATATTTTTATGCAGAAGTTTTAAGTATGTCACGATTGTCATAATTCACCCCTTTCTTTATTTAGTAGGTATGTACATCACAAAATCCTTCAACTTCATTTTTGCATTATCAAAAAAAAGGCCCACCACGAATCTCTGTCTTTGTTTTACTACGCTTCATTCAACAGCAATCGCCGAATAAATTTGATACTAAAATTACTCCACTGTGATCAGTAATATTATCTATAAGTTATATTAAATTTATAAAATTGTTACTATCCCTCCTTAGGGGTTATCTACAACTAGGTTCACTCCAGTTGTTAAGTGCTAGCCTAAAAACAATGAACTGACTTAAGGCTTGGACCTAACCCATGTGGGCCGAAGGACCTTTCTTGTAAGGGTGTCAGGTAATTCATTGTAATGCATAAAATATTAGATACATGATCAGTATGGGTTCATAAGATACAAACGATCACTTTATATCATCTAGCAGGTATTTACCAAGGAAACAAATTTATATGCTTGCAACAGGCGTTAAATAATATCTACCCTATTTACTCGAAACTGTTATTTCATATAATAAATATAATTATACAAATTAGATGAACTTGTGCAATTTATTGATTATTTACATGGATTTTCGTTTAATTTTTCATATTTAACACTGTACAGTTACTATGTGCTTATAATCTATCACTCGAAACCTTATTCGAAACATCTACCCCAAGAATATAGAAGCCACATTTTTGTTATTTTCACTGTAATTGGCTGAACTTAGAACGCTTAGATACGTTTCCTCTTACATAATAATATTTTATTCTGAATAAAACCGCGCTTAATTAAGCAAAAGCGTTTGATGACAACCATAAGAGCTAACTGAAGATTTGTTACTGTTTAGTAATAAATGATTGAGATACTTTTTGTATTCATATTTAAACAATGGCTATTCTAAAAGTTAAAAGAGCACCCTCAAGTGAAAGTCAAAAATTTGGAATTCTCTGGCCTGGAATCTTTACTTCGCAACAGGAACTGTTAATTAACTATTTACTTACTTCAATATGTATCTTTTGTCACTTTGAAGATTAACTTTAGATTTTGGAGACAACCAAATGCCTTGTTAACAATGTGCTATCTTTTACTACACAATTTGATCACGGATAATGACATAACAGTACATCTACCTGCCCTTTGTAAGCACTTTCTTAGCATCAACATCAAATATCCATATTCCGTTACATGTCGCTGACCGAATCCATTGACGATCACATTATGTATACGTTCAGTTCGTCTTACTGCTAGTAGGACAAACCACACGGAGCTCGTGTAGTGGCAGGTCGCGGACCACGATGGCGTGGAAAGCCATGTTTGACGTCGCCAAGATGTATTCGCAGATGGAGAACCACGTAAACGCTGAAAATTAAACTTTATATATAATTACATACCTTATTGAGTTGTTAATGATCATTGCAATGTTATGTGGTATACCAGTGCTATAACATTGATACCTTACAATGTGGTACCTAAGACTAAAAGATAGATTTAGACGAATTAATATATTTCATCATCTTTGTATATTCGTCTTGGAGTCCTTTAAATATAAAGTATGTATTATGTAGTTATTGGGTATACAAGTCCTATTATAGGAGTGAGCAAAACACACGTTTAGCAGTGTATTTATTGGTTCAAAAAGGGTTGTAATGTAAAGTAGACACAAGCTTTCAAGGAATGTAATTTAATTTTATTAATCCTTCCAAATTTCACTGTTGAGCTGCTTACCCAACCAGCGGCTATTGCAGATCGGAAGGCTTCATACTTGTATAAGTAGTTTAAGACTTATGATTTAATCGGAAAAGCTTAATATTTATACATATAAGTTCACACTACAAGGGACGCCATTAAGGTCACTATTCTTTGTTTATACAAAGTTTATCCAATAAGAAAACTTGTAACATATAAGAAAAATATATACTGACAATCTTGATTTTGAAAATTTGGATAAATTCAATGATTTATATGGCATCGCATAGCGAATAGAATCTAAAATTTGAAAAAAGAGAGTGGAGAATATTCTGGGGAAGATCAGAAAAGTAAAACATATCATAGGTAAATAATGTAGAGGATAGAACATAGAAATTATAGTGTAATACAAGCGACATGGATAAAATTGGTAACTTTAATTTAATACCAGGTAAAAGAAGACTTAAATCGCAAAATTATAACTAGGAAGGGAATTAAGGTTTCCTTACCTAAAGGCCGACAGAGCAGTCTATGCCTCAAGAAGAATATGATTAACCCGATAGTAGCAGCTATGGCTACGTAGAATAACGTCCACACGAGTTTGTTAGTCCTCACAGGTTCCACAATGTCGCTTGCGATGCACCCTACCCGTGCTCGACACAGCATGTGAACAAGTGACGCTGCCATGAATATTATAAATATTTTTTCGTGAACAACTGGAAAGAGCGAATTTGGGATTAAAATTACATTAATCAAATGTATGATAGATTGTATGTTGGATAGATTGTGTTTTGTTTATTATTCTGTAGTTGGTCGCGGATTAATGTGATTATTATTTCTTTATGCCTTCTTTTTTTAAAGAAGGAGGAGGAGGAGTTTACAATCATACATGAAACGGACACAAAGGACACCCAGATTCAGAACAACAATTTGTAAACAACACTAAGTGTTGTCCTCTTAGATTAATTACTTACTGATATATATTGTACCATATGGGGATCGAACCCACAATTTTCAGCGTAGTAGGAGAGACAAGGTGACCACTTAAACCCATCCGTGCAGTCGAAACATATCTTATTAATCAAAACTAAGATTTGTTTTATGAAACGAGAAAGTATCATCTAGGTACTAATACAATTGCTATGATCACCACAGTTATAATTAGTAGGATGAAAATAAAACCGGTAAGTACCTACTCATAGTTTGTATAAATTTATATTGGATCGATATTACCTGCAAGTAAATTGATATATCCTTTTGTTTGAATTATAAAACAAACTGTTGAATTAAGGAGAAGTTAGCATACATATATAGTCCCAATGTCGACGAAAAAAAATCTAATGAATCATTAGTAGTTGACATTAAAGGGTTTGTTAAAAGTTTTGTAAACTTACAGTAATTTTCCCTATTGGAAATGTAAGTGACTCCGGTGAGTGCGAAGAGCTCTATAAAATTAAGCCAGTAACAAGCTTCTCCCAACTTGTTTGCGAGAGCCCGCGTCTGGAATAAACACAATTATGAATTAGTTTCAACGTATAACAGGACAAAATTATTTCATGACAGTTAGAGAAGGCAATGAAGGAAGATTTTTACAGAACGATTAAACCTGAATGAAAAACTTGAATCTTTTTTTATGTTTTATGTTAGAAATATGATGTGACTGCCTCGGTGGTGCAGTGGTAGCGTATGCGACTGCTGTGCTGAGGTCTCAGATTCGATTTCCGGGTCGGATCAAATGTTTGTATGATCTGCAAATATTTGTATCAGAGTTTGGGTGTTTTCTATGTATAATATATATGTATATACAACAAAAAAAGTATATAAGTATATAAGTCAATCTAGCTTTGATTGTACAAGCTCTGTTTAGTTTGAAAATAGATGGCGGTGTGTGTTAGGTGTCCAAAAATATTATTAGTATTATATATAAATAAATCGGCACCCATAATGTTACTAACTCTCAAATAATAATAATCTGACACAATCTCACGCACGGGCGTCTCATGAAAAATTAGAGCGTGTGCTATGGTTACCAGACTTCTGATAAACGTGATTGTTGATTTCTAAATACACACTATAGTACATTATAGTTAAATTACTATAAGACACAGAACAAATGATTGCGTTCATCACACAATTGAGTGGAAATCGAATCGACCTCTGGTTTAGCCACTTAAATGATGTTGCTAAAAATTTCTTTTCCGTGGCTATGAATTTTTGTTTAAAAACTTACATCTGTTGAAACATTCATAGACAGTCAGTTTCTATAATATTCCCATGTAAATTGCTTTCGTAAAAGTGAAAATATTCATTCTTTAAGTATAAAGTGCTAGAAATGCCCGTCTGAGGTTCCTTTGCATATGTTACTGAATTGAAATCGTGACTCTTCTATAGCGACAAATGATTGTAACACAACAGGAAGTCACGTTAGTCACATTGAAAAACAGTATTCTAGACAAGTCTAGAATATACCGAAAGCATCTACATTTGTTTCTACTTTCTTTATACATTCTATATGAGTAAATATATGTAACAAACTAAAGGATCTCCGCCGTTTTATTAAAAATACTTATACATTTTTAAATAGAAAATTAAGTAAATGCAAATTGAATTTTGACTACCGAGTGTTTATAAGTAATCATGGCTTAAGTAGCAGCAGGAGGGCTATGTACTTATGCCAAAGCCCAGGAAGTCAACATTAGTCCACGAGTTAGGAGAACTAGATTTAACCAATACCATTTCGGTAAATAGAAATACATGATTATATTTCTTCGTTTATTGCTCGCGAAGTTCTTGTATATTGGAATTACGAAAAATATTGAAAGTACTGAGAAACAAATGATTAAGCAGACATTTTTACCTTCTCCTCAGTGATGTAGGCGGTACGTACTTTATGATAGTTGTAATATATAGAACCTATCAACAACCTTGGTCCTAAATGAAACGCGATACATATCCTCCAAATGTACCTCTGAGGGCTAACTCCGGTAATCGCACTTATTGATGGCACTACATTGTAGACCTGAAAATAATTCAAGAAACAAGAAGGAATTAGATGACTACAAATGGGAACACCGACGCGGTAGTTTTTCATGAAGCGTCTTGTGCCGATTGAACCGACTTCATTAAATAGTTATTTATTACTTTTAGAATACGATTTGAAAGGTTTGTTTGTTAAGTCCGATCATTCTCAGATGATATTTCTTATATATAAAATTCTCGTGTCACAATGTTCGTTCCCGTACTCCTCCTAAACGGCTTGACCGATTCTCATGAAATGTGAGCACATCGGGTAGGACTGAGAATCCCCATTCCCGTCCCCATCCTTTTTTTTTAGGCAAAGCAACGTTTGCCGGGTCAGCTAGTAACATTATAAGCCATTAAGAAAAATAGTATAGGACAAACGTGACAACCAGTCTAGACTGGTAAATTGTATGATATTAGGCAATGCAAAAGACCCATTTCTTAGCGTTCCATGGATTCACCGTGCGGGTACCGGATCCATTGCGTGATAGATGGGGGCAACACATACGACTGGGACAGCGCCTGGGAATTGCGACCTAGGTATATTCAAATTAAACGGCCGTAAAACTTTAGCCCATTTTTCTTATAAGTGAATAGAGGCCCAAACGATAGTTATTATAGGTATGCGATTATAATGTTTTCCCATACATTTGATTCTAGTGCTAACTGAAATGTTTTTTGATGGCGGTTAGAAAATCTGGAAATGGAAGTGATCACGTGCTATCAAATACTCATAGGTAACTAAACTAATTATAATGTTTTTAGAAACATGCACAGAACTACAGAACTTCAATATCGCCTAGTACTTAAGGGCAGTCCCTCCACGTAAAAATCGAAGTTCAGCCGTGTCGTAGTAGACTAAACAGCCGACCCAACCCATTTTGAGAAAAAGCTCGGATGACGATCATGATGATGATGCACAATACAAGTTATTTGTGCACATAGTTTTTGTAGCAACAATAATTATGAGTATATTGACTTTTTAAACTATTTTTTTTACCTTATTGCTTAAGGGGTAAAAGTGCTAAACCTCACTGTTTCTATCATACACTATTTTTACCATCTCCACTGCAGTTCGAAGTTTAATTGATAAGAGTTCATATTAAAATTAATAGTAGCAACTAATATTTTAGTTTTCTTACATTAGTACTTACTAAGGTAGTTAATTAGTTGATCAAAATATAAACAAAAGAAGGTTCAGTCGGAGGGTCACCCAATTTCTTGAGTCACATGTATAAAAATTGACAGCAGGACAAGAGAAAAGCAGTCATGGTAGATCAGTTTAAGAACTATTCCCGTGTACGAATAGCAAATTCTCTTTATACTTATAGCTATACTTATGTCGCTTATGTGCTTAAGCGATACTCGAGGACTATGTAAGGACAGTAAAGGCTCACGTTTACATCGGTCATCTGAGCCCCTTAAATGAAATTATAAACTAATTAATAATCAAATGAACAGGCGCATTGTAATGCAAATTTTGACGAGAGAAGCCTAATTAATGTTGATTTAATAATTTATTCGTATTTCAATCCATGCTGATCTGAAGGTGTAAATAAAAGTAAAAAGTGCTGTTAACGGGATAAGCGGATGTGAGAAAATAGATTAGGTACAATAAATTATAATTTTTGCTACCTATTTTCGTACTTATGCTGTTTTTGAAAAGATTTCGTAAATTTTAAAAATAGTATTTGCGACATTCTAGTGGTGCAGGTGGTACCAATAATAATCCGTAAGCTTTTTTAGTTTTATCCTTTAAGTGTTTGTTTCATAGGCTTTTATCGTTTATGATCTGTATCGGAATGTATTAGGCTTTTATTTTTTGACGATATTCGAAATTTTAACTGAAACTCTTGCTATTGGTTTTTGTTTTGAGTGCATATAGACACCGATAACGTAAGTTTTGTTAATCATCCTAATAATAAATAAAAAGTGTGCCAATTTTTGATCATATAGTTTGACTGTAACTATAGGTATTTGTAATCATATGAGTCCTAGCCTGATGGTATAGGGTGAGGCTGTTCGTGACCCTATCAGAAGCAGTTCTGAAACAAGTGAATTTTGGCCGTGGTCTAAATGGGGCACTGCCAACTGTATTGCACGATGTGGCTGCCTTCTGACTAAGAGGCGGCCAAGGTCTGCAGGGGTTCCCGGAGTCTCCTTCTAAGAGAATACCCGTCCCACTTGTTCAATAGACGCAACTTGCAACATATCAATATTAAAATTTCCAGTTGTCGATCAGTTGACAACGGAGTTCAACTATCACAATTACTCAAATAACTCAAATAATGATTATCAAAATACGTGTTTCACAGAATACCCAAAAAAAATTGGCAACTCGCTTTTTTGTTTTAATATTATTGCACATCTGCAATCGTCTGTAGGTCATAAATCGATTATTAGGTAACTGGTTGTTTATACTTTTGTATGTATTTTATCATGCCTATGGTATTACTGTGGACCAAAAACTTACCCTACAATGTGTTTCGTGCACGTCATCTGCTTGAAATATAGCCGCTGTCACATAACAAAATATTAAAGCACCTAATGGAAGCCACAGTGCAGTTAAACATATTTCTCTCAGACCACATGTCCAGAGGATTCCCTTTAAAAGGAAATAAGAGATTTAATAGAAAAAAATATGAAAAAAGAATTATATATTAATTCTATAACTTAACAATACAAACCTTATATTCCAATAATTGAACATTCTTGTTTACATCACACTTTTCATTTGTGCGACCGTCGCCTCGACCATCAGAGTTTGGGGACGACTGTACTTGTGCGTCATTTACCATTTTATCTTTCACTCACTCAATACCTTAAAACACCGCGATCACATAGTTTTTACTGCTGCCACAAGATCGTCCATGCACCTATTAAAATGCTATTTCAATTCTTCGTGCTTAAACATTTTAAAACAGGAGCGTTTTATCAATTAAAATTTAATAACACTTTAGGGAGACAGATATATTTGATATGGATAAATTGTACAACAATGTACATTTATATTGTGTTCATTCACAACTGCAGTTTTAATAATAGAAAGCAATATGCCACATTTATGTAGGTGAATTAAGGCGTGGATTGTATGAGGTTATTTGGACATGCGCAATGAAGGGTGGAATAGGGTACACACGCACCCTCTGAATGGTGTTTTCTTACAGAATTGGAAAGCTACCTACATGAAAGCAATTTGTGAGCATTTGTTAAAATGTTGATAGCTATAAGCAGAAATAATAACTAAGAGCTTACGGATAATTTTAAATTATGGTAAACCAAGCTGTCCAGGTCAGAGTACGCACACGATCCAGGTGTTAATTTTTTTTAGTTGTAAGATCTGTATATTTCTTAATCAAAGGTATTGAAATATGCTAGAATTTACATTATTCTGTAAAATTGTCAACGAAATCTACATCAAAAGTAAAAAGTTACGAGGAATTTTAATTTATTTAGAAAAGTATTTTTGAACGCAACGGTCAATTGTCACGGTGACATTTTTTCGTGGCAATGGTCATTAAAAAAAAAACAAATAGTCGATGAATGAAATGCAGTATTTTTTACTTTACTAATGAACAATGCTGTTATTTGCTATTTTTCGATTAAAGGATGGTATTGGTAGTTAGGCTTGTTCTAGATTTGTGATACTTACTACATCAGACTAGACTGTGTACTGTCATCACTGACATACATGTAATGTGCGGTAGATGACACGGTCTGGAACCATGTACAGTCAATTAGCTGGCAGATATTTATTTTAGTTTTGTTTACCAACTTTTTCGTAACCAGACGACCGAGCTGAAATGGCGGTAGGGAGGGATGAAGAAGCGAGCAAATGCACATAATAAGCGCTCGTCCATCCCGTGATCGTAGAAATTAGTTTATAAGCATGACATAAATGATGGTGTGACGACTCTTGGTCACAAATAGTAGCGGACATCATTTAAAACTACTTAGGTAATTTAAATGGATCAGCTTGTTCAGAATTACAAAGCATGAAGAACTGAACTTTGGTAACATACATCTGATATTTATGCCCTTACATTTACCAGCAGTGGCGTTGTAATTTTGTTGGCCTGTTAAGCTGGCTTGCTAAGAATATATAATATTCGACTGAGATCGATCAATACTTTAAAAGGGCTAAAGCAAACTACATAAAGTACACCACTCGATGTACTCATCTAAAATAGTTTTTTACTACCCCTAGTAAGTGAGGATTTAATCAAACTAGGATTTAACTAAACTAAAGGAGTTACATCCCTAAATGGTTTTTTAATTCTTGGAAAGTTCCAATAGCGATGAGCCATATATTTTTGGACAAACGTCCTAAGATTTAATATTATAATTTATAAAAAGAAATTTTAAATTACTGCAATTTTGAGGAACCGCCGTTTTTAATTTGGCATATTTTTTTAGGCCGAATACTGGCAAAACTTTTGCTACCGATACCTAATTAAACATAAATTGACAAGTATGACAATATTGTCTCTACGTCGTCATGGTTGCCGATTAAGTTTGCTCTGAAGAATTGTGAATGAGAATTGTAAGAAATTGATAGACTACGTCATATTAAGGCGAAAAGCGTCACCTACTGTTGATTTCTTGTGAATAAACAAAATTATATCGTACTTGTAGTATTGCCAGCCTCCAATAAAAACTGACGTAAAATAACTTTTATTTTTCTCTTCAATGCAGTCTTAAAAAATATTTTCTAACTAATTCCCAATTTTAGCTGCTATGTTCAATGTAATTTAAGCCACAATGAATTTTACTCATCCATTCAAAAAGTGGACACCTCCTTCATCAATGACGATTATGAGGATTAGGATACTGAGGAAATATAGGGAAGAAAAAGACCACAAAGAACCACTCCTGGACAACCATTTCCGGCATCTCTTCAGAATTTCTCACTACCAGCCGCTCCATGCGCATCTGCCAGCGTCTCATGCCACCATGAGTGTGGTCTCAGGTGGCCAAATTTTCCTCTCCACTTACCACGAAGGCCTACCACAAGGAGGCGACGTCCTTGTGTGGCGGATGTCTCCTAAGTTAAAGTTTATTGCCGGAGGTGGTGCTAGCGCTTTTATAGGCTAGGAGTTGAGAGGGTCTGAAACCATATTCTACCCTTGGACCGATCTCGGTCGGCGTGAAATGTCGAGCGGTTTTCCGAAGAGGTCGGTGTTAGGGCCGCCTCTGTGTAATATCGACTGGGTGCTGCGGAGCGTTCTTGAATAGTATGCGGATGACACGCTCGTTACAGAGTTCGGTAAAACTCACCGTAAGGATCTCTGGCGAGGCTGGGGCACGAGGTGTCTCTGCTTTCTCGAGTCTCTCTCTAATGAGCTTCGGAGGGGCTACTGAGAGATCCAGTCTCGTAGTAGAAGACATTCACAACGACATCGAGTCCTCAATGAGGTATCTGGGGCGTACTGGGTCGTGATCGTGGGACTGGAGAAATCGAGGACCACAAATCCCTACTCTGCCAGGTCGTCATGGAGGAGTGAAGGAAAAGACTTGGACAACCAACTGCCGCGCACGTCATTATAACGGCCGTACGAGTTGGCGCGTGGAACACCGCCACCTCCTTTTGCGAGTAAGTTATGATCGAGAAGAGGTCTGGGAGTGTGACAGGTGAGGCCATCTACCACCAAAAAAGAAAGGCCTGGATGTCTTTGTGGTTTTAGTCTGTTTGATTCCGATACACCGCCTCACGGCAACCCCGGTAGGGTGATAGCCCATGTACCCCCGTAGCCACAAGTAAAAAAATGAAAAGACAAGTAAACTTTTCAGCATCACTATCACACATATAGGCGCTAGAAAGGCGCAGACGAGAGACGAGAGATACTTAATCTGCCTCTAACTTCATGATTTTTTCTTTTTGATTACTTACTTTGATTACATTAGATTGACTTCATTTTAAAATCTCATACTTATACAATTAAAAACCATTTCATCAAAAATATAAAGTAATGTTCTGTTCGGGCATCTTCGTCACGCATCGGCAGCTGGCCGTCGGGTGCGTGGGAGATCGGCCCTCGCCAGTGCGTCGGCACTACGCTACAGGACACGTTACATAGCACACCAGTATTGTCGTTCCGAAATTTGATGTATTTATTTTGTTAGCCACAATATACCAGTTGTTATACAGTCCACTGCATATTATTTACGGCTGACCTATCAACATTTTGGTCCAATCGAGCCTTTTCATTAGCCGCGTTTTAAAGAATTCGTCGGCATTTGGCGGTTTAAAATACAAATATTGTTCGAGAACGATCGTGAATGTTCGGGCGCAAGTCATCGTTGTAACGGTTTTCTTGAAGTCACCGTTATTTTTTAAAGAAGTTACATAGATCTACGTGTGTTACCCTGAAGTCTTGAAGACGACATCTGCGTGGAACCGATCAGCTGATCGAATTACCCTGAGTCATCGCTTCGAGGGAAATCATCTTGTGGTTAAGGATAAGGACGGTTTTGTGAGTTTGTTCCAATTATTCCCTTCTATTTCCTTTCCAAACTGTTTAACGATTTATGTGAATAATTTCTTATATTTGCAGTAGTGTGATATTTGAGCCAACAGTTTTTTTTTTTCTCTAAAATTGCTATATACCTACACATCGCATTTCTGTAGTGTTTTATGCACTGCTTGTCGCTAGCCGTAGCCTATAATATTAGATAACGGATGAATCAGCTGTGCACGCTGTGAGCTATGTTTATCAGCTGGCTACGTCACGTCAATTCTTTTTTCTTGTGCAGTTTTTGTTTTGCAGCTTTATTCTTTCTGTACTTTTCTTTCTGGTCATTTCTATATTTTTTTTACCATTTAATAAAAAGTATTCAATAGTAAAGTAGTAAGTGGGTAACTATTCAATATGACCAGTGAATCAGAATTACAACTGTTAGTGAGAAAACGCAGTAGTTTAAAAGCAAAATTAACGCATTTTAGCAGTTATATGAATGTGCTTCTTGGCTGTGATACGGTTTCTAATTTGCAATGCATTGAATTGGAGGGTCGCTTGAGAAAATTCGAAGCCATTTACGATGAATTTGATGTTTTACAGTTGCAAATCGAAATGCTTTCGGACAAGCCAGACGAGGCATATACGGAGCGAGCCAAGTTTGAGGACCGCTTCCATCAATTGGCAGCGCAAGCACGCAGTGTTTTGACCACCGCAAGGGCCACAGACAACGTTGGGTCTGTGGCGAGCTCGGAGTGCAAACAAACAGGTGATTCGTTCCATCGTGGTTTTATACGCTTACCTAAAATAGACTTGCCTAGTTTTGATGGTGGTTATCAGTACTGGCTTGAGTATAGAGATACGTATTTGTCACTAATACATAGTAGTAGCAGCATTGATAACATAAGCAAATTCCACTACCTTCGTGCTTCGCTTAAGGGCGATGCACTAGAAATCATAAAAAATATTGATTTTAAAAGTGAGCACTACCAGATGGCGTGGAAGTTGTTGTGTGATCGTTATGATAACAGTCGGCTTTTAGTTAATAATCATGTGCAGGCGTTATTTAATGTTGAAAAGCTCTCAAAAGAATCTTGTTTTGGCTTGAGACGTTTGACTGACGTCATAAATAAAAATATGAGAGCCTTAAAAACATTGAATGAGCCTACAGAATACTGGGATACGTTGATTGTGTATATGATGTCAATTAAATTAGATTCCGTTACCAGTAGAGATTGGGAGGAACACCGTAGCACATTAGATAAATCTCCTTCTCTTTCACAGTTTTGTTCCTTTATTAGTAAGAAGGCTGATTTGTTAGAAACTCTAGAATACAATAAAACATCAATTAGAGATTTCAGTAGTAAATTTATAGACATTAAACCTAAGACATTCGTAGTTAAAACTAATCAAACCGATAATCTAACTCGAACAAAAAATCATAATGTAAAATGCCCTTTGTGTAGCAATGAACACCTACTATATACATGTCAGGAATTTCGTAATTTACCTGTTGAAACACGCATCAGTAAAACTAAAGAATTCCAACTGTGCCTTTATTGTTTACGTCCTGGGCATTCAACTAAGCGATGTAGATTGTCTCGCTGTAAATATTGTAAGGGTAGACATAGTACTCTTTTACATATTGATAATTTAAAACCCAACCACTTTAGAGATCCCTTGCCTAGTAGTGTTACCCTATCCACTGACATTTCTGAAAGTGCCTCGCCTTCTTTACTTCCTAGCACTGCAGAAAATGTAACCTTGTCTAGTGACACTTCTTGCAACCGTATTACTGCTTCGCATATTTTACTTTCCACAGCATTGGTGAAAGTCGTGGACAGCCGAGGCAACAAGGTAGACGCCAGGATCCTCCTCGATAATGGTAGCACAGCCAATTTCATTACTCAAACGCTATGTGATGAGCTGGGATTGCCGCGACGTGACACAAGTTCCATGGTGACAGGTATTTGCAATCAGACTACCGTTAGTAGACAGTCTTGCGACTTAACATTAGAATCACGCAGCGGTGATTACAAGTTAAACATAAATTGTTTTGTATTGCCTGAAATTGCAAAGGTGCCGTCTGTTTCGATAGATTTTCGCAGCATTCCTCTACCCTCACACATACAGCTAGCTGACCCTACATTTTTCATTTCGTCAGCAGTTGACATACTGGTAGGTGCTGAGGTGTTCTGGGACATTCTAGGCTCTGCACATATCAACCTAGGTAAAAATAAACCTACCATACGAGACACTAAGTTAGGATGGATTGTCTCAGGCTCGATAGGTAACTCAGGGCATTCATCTATGCTTAGGCAGTCACACGTCTGCAATCTCTCGTTGAGAGAGCTTAATTATAATTTAAATAAATTTTGGGAGCTTGATTCTGTGTCTTCGAAGCATTCTTTGTCACAGACAGAGCGAGCTTGTGAGGACAGCTTTCACTTACATACAACCCGTGATGAGAATGGTCGATTCGTGGTTACTATGCCTCTGAAGGAGGATCCTAAGGTGTTAGGCGAATCTTATGAAAGAGCCAAACTTCGGCTTTTATCACTAGAGCGACGGTTCCGCCGTGACCCTGTCTTCAAAGAGAGATATATATCTTTCATGCAGGAGTATGAGCGTTTGGGGCATATGACGGAGACTCCTACACCAAGAAAACCTCACTCAGGTGGTACTATTGAATATTTTTTACCACATCATGGTGTGATCAAGGAATCAAGCGTTAGTACTAAACTACGAGTAGTATTCGATGGTTCAGCTGCAACCACGTCTGGGGTATCACTAAACGACTTACAGATGGTGGGCCCCACTGTTCAAGATGATCTATTTGCGATCTTGCTACGTTTTCGGCAGCATAAATTTGTCATTTCTGGAGACGTAGAGAAGATGTACAGATCGGTTTTCTTAACACCATTGCAGCGTCCGTTAACGCAGATACTGTTTAGAATTGATCCGACCCTACCTTTAAAGATTTATCGTCTGAATACAGTCACGTACGGGACATCTGCGGGTCCTTATTTAGCGACAAAGTGCTTGGTCACTCTCGCTTCTGAAACTTCAAACGAGCGCGCAAAGGCAGCGATTCAGCATGATTTTTACGTGGACGATTATCTCAGTGGTGGAGAGTCAGTTTCAGAGGTAGTAAAGATGACTAAGGAGGTAATTACGGTGCTGGGCTCAGCAGGGTTTCATTTACGAAAGTGGCAGTCCAATAGCCCAGATATTCTTAATAAATTAGCTGTAGACGCAGAACTTTTAGGTAGCTTAAATTTGTCTGAGAACAGTAACGTGTCTGCGAAAACATTGGGACTGCATTGGGTGTGTGAGTCTGATACTCTAGCATATTCAATAAACACGAATAAACAAACACAAACAGAAAAACAAATCACAAAGCGTCACATACTTTCTGTGATTAGTCAAATATTTGACCCCTTAGGCCTTATCGGCCCTTGTATAGTAGAGGCAAAATTAATTATGCAGAAGCTGTGGAAAGAACGCAGTGGCTGGGATGAGCAAATTCCTGGGGACATACAACTTCTATGGGTAACCTTTACTAAGAAGCTTCCGTGCCTCAACTCGTTGAAGGTACCACGATGGGTGTTGTGTGACAACTCGATAGCACACGAACTTCACATTTTTACGGATGCATCGGAGAGAGCGTACGGTGCGTGTATATATGTTCGATCCGTGAATGTACAGGGGTCAAGTAGAGTACATCTATTAGTCTCTAAGAATCGAGTTGCACCTATTAAACCGACTACTATTCCGAAGCTCGAACTATGCGGAGCTCTGCTAGGAGCAAGACTGTGTACTGAGGTACTGAAAGCTCTTACTTTACCTATTAATACATGCCGATTTTGGTGCGATTCAACAATAGTGTTGAGTTGGTTATCAATGTCACCAAATTTACTTAAGCCTTTTGTGCGTAATCGCGTCGATGAAATTCAAGAGAGCACTGCGGGTTACACATGGAACTACGTGCCGTCTAGGGATAATCCGGCGGATCTTGTTTCTCGTGGGCTGCAAGCTGACCTTATCAGCGAGTGTTCTTTATGGTGGTCAGGACCTCATTTTTTGTCAAAAGATGAAAAATACTGGCCAAAAAAGCCCAATGAAAACATGAAACAGGATCTACCTGAAATCGCATCATCTCATTTCATTGATAGTCATTCATTAATTCACAATCAAATATACCATAATCATAATTTAACATCACCTAATCAGCCATTTGTTATTTCATTAATAAAATTATTTTCCGATTTTTACAAATTACAGAGATTACTGGCTTATTGGTTCAGATATTTTAGCAATTTAAGAAATAAAAACAACAAGCAAGTTGGTTCCCTTTCGAGTAAAGAACTTAATATTTCCTTTAATTTTATTATACGTCATGCTCAAAGTGATATGTTCCCCAAAGAGTATAGTATTCTTCAATCAGGGAAGTCATTGCCTCGAAAAAGTAGACTAATTTCTTTGAGTCCTTTCCTAGACGAGGATGGCCTCCTTCGTGTGGGGGGGGAGACTTGACAACTCTCCCTATGACTATAATGTCAAACATCCTTTATTAATTTGTGGTAAACACCATGTTACAAAAATTATATTTAATAAATATCACATTGATTTATTACACGCTGGCCCTCAGCTGTTATTAGCGAATATAAGACAAATGTACTGGCCTCTTGGTGGTAGGAATCTCGCGAAAATTATTATTAAAAAATGCATAAAATGTTTTAAACACAAGTGTGAAACCATTCAACCCATAATGGGCCAACTGCCCTCTTCTAGGACACACTTGGAATTTCCATTTTTCAATTGCAGTGTTGACTATGCTGGGCCAGTATTGATATCCGATCGAAGGGGCCGAGGGTGTAAGCTTATAAAGGCCTATCTATGCATATTTGTATGCCTTGCTGTTAAGGCTGTGCACATTGAGCTCGTCACAAGCCTAACCAAAGAAGCGTATATGGCCGCCTTGAACCGTTTTGTGGCTCGTCGTGGCAAGCCCAAAACCATTTTGTCAGACAATGGCACGAATTTCGTAGGCACATCTAATGAACTGCAAAAATTCTTACAGGAGTCTAATCTAGACTTTGCAGTCGGTCAGCACGGCATCGAGTTTTCTTTTGCACCTCCCTACTCTCCCCATTTTAATGGTATTGCTGAAGCTGCTGTTCGTTCCACCAAACACCACTTACGAAGACTCTTAGGCTTAACGCACTTCACCTACGAGGAGATGGTTACCTGTTTGGCTCAAATAGAAGCTGTGTTAAATTCTCGTCCTCTAACTCCTCTATCCTCTGACCCATTAGACCTTACAGCCCTAACTCCTTCACATTTCTTGATTGGCAGGCCACCCACGTCCGTTCCGCATCCACAGGTGACTGACAGCAGCATTGAGCGGCTGGATCGCTACCATAGAATTGAGCACATTCGTCAACATTTCTGGAAACGATTTCATTTAGAATATGTTTCTCTGCTGCAGCAAAAAACCAAATGGACCACCTCGACAGGGCAGTTATCAGTGGGTACACTCGTACTTGTAAAGGAGCGAGGACAGCCACCACTAGTGTGGCCACTGGGACGGGTGACTAAGGTTTTTCCGGGCACCGATGCAGCTGCTCGCGTGGTCAAGCTGAAGACCAGGAAGGGGATTCTACTGCGGGCATATAATACTGTCTGCCCGCTACCACTTTGAATACTTCAACCCGGGGAGGATGTTCGGGCATCTTCGTCACGCATCGGCAGCTGGCCGTCGGGTGCGTGGGAGATCGGCCCTCGCCAGTGCGTCGGCACTACGCTACAGGACACGTTACATAGCACACCAGTATTGTCGTTCCGAAATTTGATGTATTTATTTTGTTAGCCACAATATACCAGTTGTTATACAGTCCACTGCATATTATTTACGGCTACCCATCAACAGTTCTGATTATATTTCAAAGCATGCTACAAACCATTTCGACTTTAAAATCTACTAATGACACTTTGTTACTAAAGTAGATGTCAAATCATCTGTACCGTAACGTCACTCGTTAGTCAAATGTCAACTAGGAGTAACGCTGTCAGTGCTGTCACACACACAGTTTAAAAAATCACTCGCTCGCTCGCCTGCGTTGAAACTTGAAGTTACTTATTGTTTTGGTTTACAAAATACTACTGTTTATCAATTAATATTATGACTATCTAGCATTGGAATGTTATTTACTATCTTTAAAATGAAGTACATAAAACTTTTGTTGTTATTTAGCATTTTGCCTATTGAAATATATGGTTCCACTCACTGGATGGTCACCGAAGGTGGTCTTATACAGCCTAGGGTATGTCAAGCTTCTATTGAACTAAATGTAAATTATTATTAAAAGAAAATGTAATGAAATTACTAATTTACTACCTTTAGCAAATAAGTTGACTTTAATATATTCGTATTTACGCGATCTTGGTAACAACAAAATACATAATTTTCCTCTTCAAAAATTGCAATCGTACAAGTGTAGTAAAATCACCAAATTTACTGCAGATTTTTGTAGATTATCCAGAATTGAAATAGCTGGTACTCTATTTCTTTTTTAGACTGATTTTTTGTTAATCAGCTGTTCCACCATATTGTAAAAAAATAATTCAATTAAAAATTATTAAAGAATATTTTTGGACATGTCATCTGTCGTGTCTGCCAGTTAAATACACTGATTTGGCTTAAGCTTATGGCTAGATACCTTTGGATTGGTATTACTTATATATACTAATATTATATTGCCCTCGCACTTTGTTGCAAAAGTGTGTGCTTGAAGTCTTGCTTTTTCTTTTCTATAGGATCTATGTAAACTTTCAACTAGCTTTGCGATTAATTGACCTACTCCTGACAATTTAAGAATTTCTATTATTGCTTTGATTGAAACAAACAATTATGATTTTCAGTCCAAAAATTGTAACTGCTACATTGTTCTTTGTCAATTGGCCATTCAGGTCTCTTACCTAACACCTCAACCTCTGGTGTTTTATTGTACTTCTTCTGGTTATCGTAGTATCCTTAAAGTTGCTATTTCTGTTCATAGCAGTGCCAACATTAATGTAGGCACAGGAAAACTATGTGCATTAATATGAGTATTATACAACTTCTGTAATTCTATTTTACACATTACTGATAGTCATACAAAACCCGCCAAGCTAAATGCTTGTGTTAGGAGAGGGTTCACATTGGTACTTCGGTAGTCCACTGGGTTTGGTTCCAACCTGTAACCATTTGAATGCAAGTTCTACTTTGCCAGAATAACAGTATGCATAAAACTAAGTACCATGGTCTGTAAAGCACCTTGGTTTTCTTTTAAGGGCTGGCCATGTGTGGATTTGGTTGACTTTGTTCCTTTCAAAAATACAGTCTTTTAGACATGAGACAAAATTACAGTGAACTGTGATTTATCATTTAATTTTTGCAAGGTTAGACTTTATTTAACAGTAAATCCAGTATTGTTTTAATTATTATGTAGGGAATGGTAGCTATATATGCTAAAATAATTACCATATTTACTGTTAAATATGTGAAATAGGATCATTATGCATCATCTCAAAACAGGTTATTGGCAAAACCTATGTACGAAAAAATCAAATGAAAAATCATCGGTCTTTCACAGTTCACTGTAATTTTGTCCCGTGCCACAGGCCTTATAGTAGTATAAGCAAGTGTTTCTATTCTATTAAAATTAGTACCTTTAAATAAACGCATTCCTTAACCCTAATAATACTTTTCAACCGCCAGTATTTACAAGATTTACAATTTATTTTGTACATGTGTACAGAAATACATAACTATTTGGCATAATTACTAGTACACCATATAGAGTATACTTGAAGTGTACCTACCTATTTTATGTGTTTCATATTATGACTTGAAAGCAATTAGTGGGCCCTTAAACCAAATGGATGTAAGAAATCATGTGAGATTTTAAAATACTATGAAATATTAACAGTATGATGCAGTATCAAGAAAATAAAATTGCTTCAAGTTATTTTTTTTACTATTGTTGCAGTTATTGTAAAATAATAAGAATTTTGTAATTAAACCTTATGCTTCTGTTCTTTTAGCTTGATTCGCCATTCGAAATGGCCCGACCATATGATTTACTAGCATTCCTAAACCAAGACACTCGCTGGGATAATATAATCAACTTGCACCATGATTTAACAAAAAGACAACAGATTATAAAGAGCTTGTGGGCGGAACTTGAACGAGATACTGATATTACTAGCTTACTTTCTCAGGATGATAATTGTGTAAAAGCAGGCGAACTGAACTTGATAGACTGGTATACTTCATCCTTAGAGGATGGTAAAGCCAAGATTGGCACTGAAGAATTTTCTTTACACAATATAAATTATGGAGCCATCCATGTGCCTGATTGCAAAAAGATTTCTTCTCTGACATTCAGTATGTGTGTTTTTGAACATTTGGAGGTAAATATTATGAAATTCTTTTGAATGAACTAAAAGGAATAAAAAGGTTGATGAGTGTAAATCTAAGTTGGTTTTGTTAAGAGTTGCATGGCCGCGGTTCTATAGTCATGCATAAATTATGAACTTGGTTTAATGTACTCCTTAAATTGATAACTAGCCTTTCATAAAAATCTTATTGTTAAGAGCTACGTATTCGTTTCTATTTCATCATCACATCACATCAACAACTTTTAATAGTCCACTGCTGGACATAAGCCTCTTCTTAGAAAGTAGGTTTTGGCCTACTATACCACACTGACCGGACGGGTTGGTATATGGTGGTATACGGGTTGGGTATTCCTCCTCTTTGCAGTGATGTTGTCCTGCATAGTTTGCCCTCCCTTAGTTGACTCCTTCGACACCCACGGGATGAATAGTGGTGGTGAAACTCCGTATTCTTAACCACAGATATCCGTGTGTTGACGGAATTTTTATTAGTCTATCATAATCTCGAAATGTAGAATTAAGAAATTTCGTTGAATGTATGTGGTCTTGAGTGAACCTTGCTTTATTTACTGTATACCTATTAATTGTTTGCCTAACAATTTTTCTTTTATTTTATAAAAGAAGCACGAAGGCAATGGAACTGGAAACATTGGCAATTTTGATCCTACTCAGAACTAGAAATGTTAGTCTAGTTTCTAGATGCTTTCCCTGAAATGGGGAAGAATATATATGGTGTCTTATTAGAACAATTAGGAATGGTGATGGTTTTTATGTTTGTGACTTTGTCTTAGAAGTGTAGGGTAGATAATTGCTTAAACTAAAATATTAGTTATGCAGTTCATAAATGATAATGCTTTCTTTCAGGGTATGATACAAAGAGAGAATTTAAGTTCTAGCCCAGAGTTGTCTTCACCAGAAGAACTGTCGCCAGAAGTGACTATGGACCATTTTGGGGATTGGTTGGCCGGTGTGCTGAAAGAGAATAGCTCTTCGTGGCTTCACTATAACATGGCATCTTTATATTGGAGGGTTAGAGGAAATGCGCCGAAGGCCATGGAATGTAGCCGCCGAGCTGTGCATTATGCACCAAGGTATTGTGAAAATATACGTTTGTGTTTAAGATTGGTTTTCCTTTCAAAAGCTGTTTTTGATTATCCTCCTATTTTTTAAACTCATACACTTATAGACCCAAAAGCGCATTATAACGACTCTTTTTTGTCTAAAAAAGATAATATATAATCAGTGCTGTTTGAATCTTATCAATAATATTAACGTAAATGCGTAACTAGTTGCAGTTCATAGAAAAACAAGAACTCTACTCTGGAACTCTTTACAGTATTGTAAAGTAATAATACTCAAGGAAAATTAAAAACTTATGTAGATGCCATTAGATGGACATTATTTTTCCTCAACATATTAATGTAACTTACTGCTACATTGTACTGTATCTTAATATATTTGGGATATCGTGGGAGAGCCATGTTTCAGCACAAATGAGTGAGATGACCGTAGTGATACCACGACTTCAAAGACAACCGGCGTTAAGTACTCGTCACTATAGCGCTTTAAGCGTATTGAATGTCGGTACCTATGCACATTATAAAACGCAATAAATGATGGAGTTTTGAATAAGCGGGTGCTTATATTTGGAAAATAATAACATTAGAAGCTAATTACGGTACAGTTCATTACTATAATCACACACACAAGGAAAGACAAAAGATTAGGGATAAGAAAAAGAAAAAGAAACTCCGTACTAAGAAAAAGAAATAAGGAGAAAAACATAGAAAATAGACAGCAAGTAATACGTAAATAAAAAGCGATACACAGAAACTTCGCGAGCGACGGACATACGTCACACGTAGGCTATGTGCTATGCGCTGCGCTCGCGCGGCCGCTCGCTATATATATTAAAAATCTGTTTGTCTGATAGAAATAACAAATATAAATATTTTGTTACATACATATGGAATATGACAAATACAGACATAAATAAATATATCACGCTCTCAGAGAAGTTACAAAAAAAAACTCCCTCACTGCTAAAAATGCAAAAAAAGTTAATTAGGAAACTTGTAAACATGGACGACACAGAAAGTGGCAAATCTAATTTCCAAAAGCTAAAAAGACTAACTGTTCCTTGTATGTATATTCTTGAAACATGTAAATTTGTAAGACAACACACAGATTATTACACAAGAAGGGAAGATTTAAATACAAATTATACATTGAGACACCAAAACCGACTTAACCTAAAAAAATTGTCTAATAAATACATTTATAAAAAAATTAAAAGATAAATTTGAATAATAAACAAACATATAATTAAGTAAAAAACAAATAATTAAGTAATAAACAAACATATAAATAAGTTTAATAATTATATGAAAAATATATAATATATTATAAAAAAATTAAAATGTAAAAATAATGTACTATAATTTAATATTTACCAAATTTAATTAATACGCGAGCAATAAAATAAATACCTACTTAGTTCTACGAGTATTTACGAAACTACTTTTTGTATTCATTATGGAGTGCAGTAAACGAATTTAACTGAACTGAATGTACAAGTTAACAATAATTTTTATTTTTTCTTCTTTCTAAGGAGAGGCCTATGTCCAGCAGTGAACTATTAAAGGCTGTTGATGATGATGATGATTTGAAACACACATATCTACATTTACATACGATTTATTATACATTTTACAACTGGTATAAAACAATTACACGCTGCCGCGTGAGTGAGGTTGCCGGAGCCCAAACCTCATTCTGGGGGGGGGTAGGGACTTGTGAGGTTTGAGTTGCAGGCGTACATTGGTAGTCGCTTACCATCTGGTCGTTGGCTCCCTATACCAGATAAAATCTAGATATTACAATACTTGTTTTATGTGTAATAAAGAGTGTCTATCTATATATCTATTTATTACATTCAATTTGTATGCAATGGTGTAATATTTAATAACCAAAGTGGTAACCTTTTGACAGGTGGTAAGTTGGGTGAACTGAAAGTCACATCTGTCGCCGCCTTCGACGTAAAGCTATTGTTTGCATGGTTAACTGTTGTTAATTATACCTGTGACTGACGATATCACCAAACTTTAATTAGTATAGTATTTTACTGTTAGCCGTTACGTTCCTTTCAACTGTGACTGTATATGTGTCAGCACTCACGCACATCAGCATAATTAAGTTGAGCCGTTTGTTTTATTTGTTCTTTAGTGCGACTCTTTTCTATACTTGATATAAGAACACGGACTATTTATCTTGCTTGTGAGAGTTAGACTATAACCATCCAATGAATGTAAATATAAATATCCATCGAGATTTAAATCAATTAGAGAGTGCAAAAAATATGTCTTTTGTATATATATATAATTATTTTTTTTTACACTATATAAATATGATATTTTTGATTTGTGTACGCTTCAAAAACTCAAAAAATTCTGCACCAATTGAGCTCAAGTTTTGACACGATATACAACCCAAAGATGGGTTTTATCTTTTTTTTACTCCACTATGTGCCACAGCAAAGTGTGGCAGGGCAGAGCTAGTTAATTATAAAAATACTTATTTCGTCTGGGTACTGAAATCCTTAAGATGGACAGAAAAGAATGATTTTAAAATCGCAGTTATTAAGAGCACATAACAAAATAGTTGCTTCCCGATGCCCACTCGTAAAGTCCATTCGGTCGTACATATAGGTACAAAGTTACACGTGATTGCGACTTTCACTATCGTGAAGACATTTCAGTTTCCTTTACTTCATCGGTAAATGCGCTCAACCGCGAGCCAATGTTTGCCGGTCAATGTAAATGGTCCCTCAATGAAGTCTGTTAAAAATTAGTAAAACTAGACTAAACTAAACTAGAAAACTAAAGTGAAATCGATATTGCAAAGTATGGACCAATGCCTGGTTAGTTCAACTGAAACTTTTTTGATGTCACAAATGATTATAGATAATGTGCGTTAAAGCGTTTTAAGTCGGTAAATTATTATTTTTGGTAAATAAAGCATGTGATTATTTGTATTTCAGGGAATATAAAGACATTGCTCTATTGAGTATGGGATTGATACTACACCGCAGTAAAATGACCGAAGATGCTGTTATAGTGTTAGGAGCTGCGACCGACCATGACCCTCAATGTCCCATAAATCATTTTGTAATGGCCAACGCGCTTGCAGTACTCGGTGATTTCAATTCTTCCATAAAACATTTTGATATGTGTCTCAAGCTGAATCCCACTTTTGAATTGGCACAGAAACACAGGTCCGGGGCTATATGTCATAATTTCCTACTGAAAAATATGCAGATTGTTCGAGAGTAAGTAGACTCTTGCCTTTTTTTTATTATTTGATCTAGTCCTAAGCTTTCCTTAGATTTATTCTCGAATCGAATGAGTGTTGGTTGTTGTTTGAGATCTAGTCAGTTTGATAGGTAGTTGGTATTTATAATGTTGAAGTAAGTTCAACAACATACAAATCCAGAATGTCGAAATACCTAACACTTATGACAAACTCCCTCAAGTCAGTATATCCATGCATTGGATATGTAGACCCAAGTATAATATAACTCTTAGATCTTAAATAGAAATCTTTATGGCTGTCTTAGTATATTATCGTTGTTTAGATACATATCGTCGATGCGCATTTATTGCTAACAATTTTTTTTTCTTGACGTATTTGATAGTTCATTTACAATTTTTATTGTGTTGGACACTGAATACTGAATACTGTTTACACACTGAATACTGAATGTTGTTTGTTTGTGACGAAATACTGTTTGACATAAATGAAACAAGTATTAACGTGGAAATTAAAAGTAAAATGGTTGATTGTTAATTCTATATTATCGTTCGGCATTCATTAACCGCGAATGTAAAATTCAGTCACATTCTTAACTTAAGTTAGTTAAAATTAAGTTACATTCTTAACTTACGTCAGTTAAAATTAAGTTACATTCGTAACTTACGTCAGTTAAAATTAAGTTACATTCTTAAGTTAGTTAAAATTAAGTTACATTAAAAAAAAAAATAAGTTAGGCAAAACTGTACAAGTTTTACGTTGTTATGAAGCAATCAGGGTCATCCTGATATGTTCGTATAACTAAAATGTTACTATATTAATTTATTATTGCAGTACGCTATACAAACTTCGTGACGAGCTCACACAGTACACTCAAAGAGAGGCATATTGGCTAAAATCACAGGTTGCATTTTTACGTACAATGAAACATGCTGAGGAGTATGGTAAGTTTTATGACTTTCTGTGTCATTTCACACACGTACTCAAATATCACTTTTTTTTTTTTCATTACATTAATACAACGCCATCTAGTCCCAAACTAGGCAGAGCTTGTACTATGGCTACTAGACAACTGATATAAATTTATATATGTAAACATATACTTTTTTTTTGTAAATACATACTTATTATTAAAACACCCAGACCAAATTAAACATTAAATGTTCATGCACTCAAATGTTTGACTTGAGCGGGAATCGAAGGTGGCGCAAGACAAAAATGCACATTCAGTGATCGGCTGGACCGGCTATCTTTTATTATTTATTTCTTTTATGTCTATTGTGCTTTTATCCATTTATTCATTCTCGAGAATTTAGGTTTAGTGAATTAATTTAGGTGTCCCTTGGGTAGTACTTTTTATGGGATAAAACTTACGAGTAAACTTACGCATACATACACATTTTCCGTAGTACAGAAATGGAAATATCATTTCTATGCCACAATGTGTTTGCAAACTTTTATGATCGGTCAAGTAATTAAGACATGAAAGCTTTACAAATAAAGAAATAAATTTGCTTCCGTATTCATAATTCTTAAGTCATAAGTCTTTATAACATTTTAGGTAAACAAAACCTAAAAAGGCAAATGGGGTAATTCGGGAAAACTAGGTACCGTCTTTCAAATAAGATAACTAAATAAATGTATGTAATTAGTGGGAAAAATATTGATCCTAAAGTTTTATCTACTATCTCTTTTACAATATTTTAAATATTGGACTATAGACCCTAGAAACTCTCATAAATGAAAATATGTTTGATTTCCAGACTACATGGATGTAGCAAAAAATTTTGAAAAAATGACGGAGCTTACCGGTTTGAATATAAAGGATTTAAAAAAAGAGGGTGACAAATACTCTTTAATTCAATACTTTTTGGATGGACCAACTTACAACGAAAACTGGCTGAAAGAAAAAGGAGTCCACGCCATAGAGTCTGTTTACAGCCTGCAGACTTTAGTCAAACACATTGGAAGACATACTAGCTTGATTACCGATTTTGTTGTGCAAGGTGACTATTTGAAATTGGAAGATGAGAAAATATTAAAAGAGATAGGTCCGACACCTACATTTCCAGATTTGTTTCCAGATGTTGTTAAAGGTAAATAGTTTTTGTTCTTAAAATAACTTGATTATTTTATTTGTGATAAGTAAATACTGTTGTTAGTGATATACGGCGAAGAACACAGATATTTTTTATGCCGTTGAATAGCCCGCTTGAGTTGTACTAGATATGAATAACTATTCTGTCTTTTTTTGAACTACGAAGAGTTCTTATATACGTAAAGCGGACTCATTACTAAAAAATACAGTATGAGTTATTGTAATACAGTACAGTAATAAACAGACGTTTACCCATTAAGTATTCCTATATATATATTTTCAGTTGACATACCACTGAAAATAAAAATAAAAAGTCAAAAATATTCTACAAAGTACAACGTCAATAAAAACTTGTTTTTATTATTACAATGCTACCTATTATTATAAATGTGTTTATTTTTATTCATATAAATTAAACTATTAAAATAGCAAAAACAAGTTTCTCTGCCACAAATACGTATATAAATATCATAATTGATGTTTATATCTTGGGCGACTCTTAAAATGTTTAATCATTTTCTTTACGATTTTCACTTTTTTACGAAAACTACTACAAAAAGCTACAAGGGTCCTTGTTGACCTTTCATATTATAGAAAGTGTATAATAATAGTTTATACTGTAACCAGTATAAAGTAAGATACAAGACATGAAGCTAATGTTCAAAAGGTAACCACTGACTCTAATGTGTATAATTATAACACAATCTTGTATGTAGTAGTGTAAAATTTTGTCTTATCTAAGTCTCCCATGCTGACGTGTAGACATATTAATACTGTGTACACAATAATTAAACTAAATAAGAGCATAGTTATTATATTACGTGATTGCCAATCTGCTTCCTGATCATATAAAATACGTTTTATACATCATCATATGATTTAATGTTTTCTTTCAGGCAATTCTTTTGTCGAGCCTAAAGAAACAAAGTCTGAGCAAAAACGTAGTGATAAGAAAACACCACCAGTTGACCATGAACAAAATATGTCTGAGTATGATACAGGGATTATATTGTGAGTATTTTCTTTAGAATTTAATTCTAATAGCGGAATATTTAGAGGGCGTTGATCATGGCATTGACGTTATCTTGTAAGGCAAAAGTCTTTAGATTCAACACCATGGAGGAAGGTAGAGAAGAAGTCGGCAGTCTGGAGACTGAAAACTGTTTTGCATTGCGTGCATTCTCGTCCGAATAGGGTAGATTCCTAGGTTTAAAATAAATTATTTCGCCTGTATCATTATATCTAACATCTCAAAGTAGAGGCTGAATTGTCCTCCATTGTCAATTTGATTTTTTTATTAATTTGATATCTTGAAATCAACGTTAAATATAAATGATTTGACAATAACTAGGTATGACGTCACGAAATAGTATCTCATACAAAAATGTACCGCGTCCAGCGTTTTGACGTTTAAAAAAAGACACTGATTTGACTTGACAGTCATCTACCCTATTGGTGGCGCCTGTCCGTGAAGACTTCTTCGTTCTATAAAAGTACGGTTCATCAACATTAATAAATGTGGGGTCTATTGTATTAAGTAGGACTATGTGTGGGAATAGAGTTGGTAAAGTACAAATAACTCTACTGGTTTTGAAAAGTGTTCACAAGTGTCAGTCACTACTTACCGATGATAGTGTCATATGAATGAGATCAAGTTGAATGAATGATGATGATTTTCAGCTTGCTTGATGATTATTAAGTTCAAAAATACTGTTGTTCCGGCAGTTGCATAGTCTAGCGGTATGTTAATTAAAAAGTCAAGTAACATTTTTGTAAGTTGATACATGTATTCACATTAGTTATGATTATACCAAATTATCTTGTGTTTGATGTTTTGAAACTTGTTGTTATTATTATGTTTTAGTAAGTAAAAGAATGTTTTAATAATAATATTTTGGACATCTGACACACAACGCCATCTATTTTCAAACTAAGCAGAGCAAAGCTAGATTGACTGATAGAATACTTAAATACTTTACTTTACTTTTTTTTTGTAAATACATATATATTTTACATAGAAAACACTCAAACTCCGAAACAAATATTTGCAGATCATACAAACATTTGGTGGTCGCAATAAAATACTTACAATAAAACCCGTTGTTTCGTAGATACCCGTCAACATTAAAAATAAGCAGAACTACAGAAGACTTTGACAAGGAGGCTGAATGGCCTTCCAATAGACTGTGTAAGGAGACTGCGCCAACTTTTCCAGACAATTTAGAGGCTATATATCAAATATTTTTACCTTTCGAGAATAAGGGAATAAGGTATTTACTTATTTTTAAATATATGCTTATTATATACTGAGTCAAGCCTCCAAGACGACTCATAATTATTACCTGCATGTTCTATGACCACTAACTTTTATCCTGTGCATCTACGGGCACGAATTATCCACTCGGTAAATATCTAAAAAAAAACATAGTAGGTACTTGATTATCAATTCGATTGAGTTACTTTTAATGAAATGTCAACATCAAACTTTCTATAGCAATTTGGACGAAATAACAATTTTGTCATTTTATACAGTTTACATTTAAAAATAACATAAAACGTTACGTTACGTATTTGGTACTATATTTATAAGAAACTAGCTGTACTCTGCCACGCTTCGCTGTGGCACATTCTGGTTGAAATTTTTTAATCTTTGAAACCTGTTGTATTTCGTGTCAACAATTGAGCTCAATCGGTGCAGAACTTTCTGGTTTTGTTTTTAGCGTAACGACGTTAACAAAACAACTATAAAATAATATATAGATTTTAATATGATATTTTGCAAATATATAAATTGTAATGTGTGTGGATATTTAATGTATTACAGACTGAGGTCGCTGTTGACCGACAAGATAGGTGTCCCAGCTAGCTCGGAACATGAGTTGCCGTGGCACCCACCAACGTGTCCCAACGATAAGGACGCTACAGCTTTTACACAGAAGAAAGCGCAGAAGTATTGCTATTAATTTATGTACTAAATAGTAGTTTATTTTTTAAAAACCCTTGACGCACTTAATGTAAAATGTATGTAAATTTTAATAATGACGGAATATTATTATATGGTTTTTGTCACATATATCTAACAAAAAAGACAGAAATCTTCCTTCCTTTGTTTTACTGTGTGTAAAGTTAAATAAAATAGCTCGGGGTCTTTTCTGTGATGTTCCAGACCGCAGTTTGTAAGCGAAGTAATTGTAACAGACCATCTTCGACAAAAATTACTGGAGTACGTGGGCGATGGTGACGCGAGCTCCGTGAAACACATGCAAGATGCTGAGATCGGACAAAGAATATACGCAGCTATGCAAATGGTACATACATTCCTTTAACCGCAGAAGAGCCATGCTTCGCCATGGGCCAGCCTGACCAGAGTGATACCCTGGCCTCTTCTCTCGGATTGAAAGATTATTCTTGTTCTTTTTTCTGTTTAATTTAATAATATTTAATTTAATATGAAATTGAAATATGCCATTAAAATTTTATCTTCTACCACTGAGAATAACGTATAAATTTATAATAAATAAATAATTGATCTGTATTACTATAACTTCAATGCAATAATTTGATATCTTACAATATTTTTATCTAACTTTATAATGTTTCACCACACTTGTAGAATTTTGCATACCTTACGGTAGAAGCACTTTAAACATATAAATTTATAACACCATTGTAACAGTGTTTTCTGCAAAAATAAATAATTGGAATTTAACAGAAAATCGATGTCAAGCAACTTTTTTTGTTACTTTCACCGATAAGTGACGTTTACGGAGCCCAACCTCCCCCTTAACTGATTCTTGAGAACTCCATCGCGGCAGCGCACTTGAGACTCATAAAAAAAAAGACATTTTGTACAAATACTGACAAACTTTAAGTATTTTAAGTTATTTATTATATACACTGTTATTTAAAATAACTGACTAAAAGTAAATATTTTAGATATTAAGTATCACTTACTGTTGGCTCAAAGACGTCATGGCCAAATATTTTGTTCTATGAGATTGGACTTCTTGATTATTTACTACTGTAATGACCAGAGGGCAAAAACCTATTGACATGTATTTACAGTAGTTATTTTAATATGTTCAGTTTTGGGCCTGTCAGATTCTTATTATGTTCAGGGCCATTAGTGAAATATAGAAAATATTGTTTATTTTTTAGAAACTGGCTCCGAAATGGCTTCTCTACACTTTATCATCTCTATACTGGCGCGTGCGCGGCAACAATGTAAACGCATTACACTGTATCATGACCGCCAGTCGAACAGTAGAGCCTAAGTACAAAGATATCGTCCTGGTATCTCTAGCGTCTACGTACCTGGAGATGGGGTACTTCGATGAGGCTTTAGCGGCAGCTGAAGAAGCCTTTAAATTGAGTCTTTATGAGGTAAGGAACTTATTTACCAGATTGAGTGTGTTTGAATCACATCCGTAGTGATTTCCAGCAAAATGTGTTTAGCTGATAATTGAATAGTTGAATCAACTGAATACCTAGTTCGTCCATATTGTCTATTTATTTGTTAGTTACATACAAAAGACATAATAAAATCGCAATCAACATGACCAACCAATAGTGATCGATCCAGCGATTTTGCCAGCCCTATCAAAAGTAATATGAAAATACATTTCATATAGACAGATTGATCATTCTTAAAGTCCCTAAATATAAAAGTCAAAAGCGAATTTCACTTTGATATACAAGTTTTTTTAATTACCAAAAAGCGAATAAGGACGTCGGATCCTTATTATGATTTTTTTATCTCCAGCCAGCTACAAACTTCATACTGTCAGAGTTAAACATGATAAAGAAACATCGCAACACTCATATGTTTCACCTCAAGCAAGTAATACGAGTGGAAGGGAACTTCATGAATGGACTCGCCCGCACACTTCTCCACGGGTGGGCCTGCTTGTTCAAACAAGTTAACGTGTTACAGGAACTAGGTAAATATTTAATTGTTTAATTTGTTCACTAAAAGTGAAAAAGAACTAGGTTTAGTCGATATGTTTAACGTTCCCACAATCTATATTACGTGCATGGTAAAAAATTTAATCTTTTTTATAAGTATCCATTAACATAGCTATTAAAAAAACTTATGTTCATATAAAAAAAATCTTCACCATCTTCAACAAATGTAAGTGCTTGTATTAGGAGCGAAAATGCATTTTTTTTAAACTACTTGTGTTTGGGCGATTCTCAAACTTAGCTCTTAAAATAGTCATAATTATTTACAATCAATTGTTACTTCAATAGAATTACGTATCTCGTAATATCGTCACTTACAAAAAAATATCATCCTAATCTTTTTGACTGTTTAAGTCCAGGAAAGGGAAAAAACTGCAAAGTGATGAATTTCAAAATTGTAACTTAATTTTAGTTAAAGATGTTTCTTTATGGGTCATAAGTAGTATTAGAAAAGTAGAATAAAAAGTAGGAAAAGTAGATTTATATCCAATGACTTTCAAAAGTAAAAAGGGTCAAGTTTTGACTTGGACGGTGTCGTACACACAATACACCAAAGATGTACGTTCTGTTATCTTTTCAGAATTCAGCGAGAGCGATATTTGCACACAGGTAGAACCCGGAATGAGCATGGTGTGCGAAAAAGATGGTAGTAATTGTCATTTGACTAATATACAATGCTTCAGTTCACATGAACGTGGTAAGTTAATACAATTTTTTAAACATAAATGTGAAGTTCAGATTGTGAAGGCACTTTGGTAGGATGTTTAGTAGGGACTGTTCCTGGCTCACAAAATCTATGTATAAATGAATTCTTTTTTCATTACTTTTCATTATTTCTTAATATTTTACGTGGCATTGCAACGAATACCGGGTGCAGTTAGTTAAAGAACAAAATAAAGTTTATTGTGCACCAAATATAATTAAATTTCATGATAATGACAGACACAATATGTGTACTAGGCGGTCTTAACGCTTAAAACAATTCTTACAGGCATACTTTGGATAGATAGTTCAATTATCCATCCTATTTTGTCTGTTAAAAAATCGAAAACTTTATATTTTGCAGTCGTTTTATATAAATTATATAAATCTACTGCAAAGTTAAAAGTTTTATTTCATTTATGTAATATAAATAAAACGAGAAGCCTACTATGATTTAGCTAGAATGACGCAGTAACGTAGAACTTATAATGTAATATTTAAAGGCAGCCTTTATAAACAAAACAAAAACTTTATACTGCTTCTTGTAATACTTTACTATGTACTTACTAAATTTCTGTTAATAATGGTTTAATCTATTTCAACAATCTGGCATACTTACACTAATACAGTTAAACATTAACATAACGAACCTCAGTATAGAACCGAAAGCCCCAAGAACTGTAGAAAAAGTAAAGGTAATAAGAGTTAAAATAACGGAATAACTATTTACGAAAATAAACAGAAAGTATAATTTGACTCTTTTGTTGTCACAGAAAGCAGCACTCTGGTCAGAATGCTAGAACTGAAGGACGATAACATCCAGGGCGCGTACGTAGACGACGTGCACGAGCACGTGTTCGATCACTTGATGGTCAACATGGAGACCGAGCGTTCCGACAAGCTGGGCCACCAAGCTCACTTTGAAGCCATGATGAAGACTGTCGACAAAACACTCAAAGGCTGTGGAAATAGGGGATGCGCAAGTAATCTACATTTTATAGATATCAAACACCTATCGCAACTAACCTTAACAGTATGTCGATAAATAACCTTAATATTCGTTTTTTTATTATAACGTCAATTCTAAAAAGTTGCAGAATTCTCAATAACGGTGAAAGTAACAAAAGTGAAATTAACTTAACTCACAATTACTTCTGATACTATAAGAGTGGTTACGACATGCTTCAAATTAAATGAGATTCTTCAAGAAGATTATGAAAACTTCAGTTTACTTATAAAGTATTACCAAGCAGTCTTAAATGTGAGACGCTAATGTTAAGTGTTTGCTGAAAAAATATAAACTTTGTATTGTTTATGTGAATTACAGCGTTTCTTAATAAAATCAACGCTTTTCTAAAACCTGTGTAACGTGCAATTATTTCTAGGGCCCGCTTATATTTCTTATTGTTCCTATTTGTTCGTGGTAATGAGTTAAACTGTTTATGTGTTAATATATAACTAAATGGTGTTATGTATCCTCAACTCGTGTTAAATTAAAATCGCTTTATGTGTTTTTTGTGCATTGTTCACTAACATATTACGTGAAACGTTCAACCTGGCGATAATGAACTTGGGTCTGTCTACTGCCCACGATGTACCTTTGCTTTTATGTTATAATGTGTACCTGCTATTATACTTAAGCCAAATGTATTGTACAATGTTTACTAACAAACGTATTATTAAAAAATATATGCATAGCTTTTAAACTATCGCGTTGGCGTTGCTTTATATTTATTTGGTGTATATTAAAAAAAATTGAGTAGTTGAACTTCGACAGGTAATGTTATTGCATATTTAAGAAAAATCTCTACGAGTGCTTGGAAAACTAAGATGTGTTTAGCGTTCATTGTCAGATCTTGGATTGTTGAGACGGCGGGATGATATATCCAAATTAGATTGGTCGTCTTTATCATCAGGTGGCGAAGTCTGTTGGGTCCACAGGAACCATCATAGCACACACAGTTCCTTTCTAGGGTATACCTAAAGTCCAGGCCCTAAGACTTCCGCAAGGAGCCAACGCCTGAGTGCCACCACTGCGATGGCCAGACCGTGGACACGGCTCTTAACACGCTGGCAGAGTGCCCGGCGTGGGTTGAGCAGAGGCGAGACCTGGTTTCGGCCATCGGAGTGGGAGTTTTCTCGCTCGATAGCCTGATTGCGGCTATCGTGCGGAGCGAGAGTGCGTGGAACTCTGCCGTCTCCTTCTGCGAGCAAGTTATGCTCGCGAAGGAGACGGCGGAGTGGGACCGGGAGAGGTTTAGGACTCTCCCGGCCCGCCAGGCCCGGGAACGGGCCAGGTACCGCAGGCGACTCAGGCGCCGGAGGTCGCAGAACGACCTCCGTCCTCCATAAGCGCAGGCCTGGGGGTGACAGGTGAGGCCATCTGTCACCCTAGCAGAAGCAGGACGGGGTGGCGGCGAGCGCGTTGCGAAGCACGCTCGCTTCCAGGGAGCACAGGGAACATGGGGTTCCCACACGGGGGGGGGTCGTCTACTCGTCTGTAGATGACCCGAGGTATGTCGGGGCACCAGGGACTTCCTTTCTAGGGTATACCTGGTTCCCCGGCTATTAGTACCCGAGACGGCGTGCGGTTTTAGTCGCTTCGAGTCCGACATGCCACCGACAGGTGGTATCCGAGGGGATTTCCGCACGGAAAAAAAAGGCCCTAAGACTCGATGTCGAAATATTTTAAGGTTTTAGTCGGTACTAGATTGACCCATAGGAGTTTCCACACAGAAAAGGCGTCGAATTATTGGGGCTCGTCCACTTACAACATCTTAAAATTTTTCCTATGATTTGAAGATTTCTTGTCTATTCTAGAGGACTCTTTTGGGTTAATTAATAATAATGAACCCTTTAATCTATACACTACGTTCGATTTCTCCTTTCTGACATTTAAATAATATTTCTGACCGACATGACATTCGGTTTTTTCGCTGACAACGTTCTCCTGTTATTTATTTTGTATACATTTTTTAAATTTTATTTACATTTAAAAGATAACTAGGATTCTGATTGTTTTCTAGATTCCTTCTGAGGTGATCTTTCTGGGTATATCCCCTACCTTACTTTCTAGCTTTACTACAACGAGCAAATCTACTTTAGAAAAACACTTCATTCATTCTCTTTAAAAAGTATATAAGTTTGACCTTTTCTTACTCAGTGCTCTATAGCTCGCTCAAGCGACACGCTGTTCAGGGACACCCTTCCGTTTATTATACATCAATGGTCGCTATCACCTCTGTGACTGATTACCAGTTAATCTAGTTGAAGTGCATTTGAGGCAGTGTTCTCACATCCTATACCTAACCGATGCAACATGCATACAACAATTCACATAGTGTCTTCGACTTTTGTCTTTACTAATACGATCAACACATTTTCCGTGTGACACCACCGCTGACTAGTGTGGTATAACGTGAAATAAAACAATTCGTTACGTCTTAATTTTAGTTATCATCATCATCATCATCAGCCTATCGCAGTCCACTGCTGGACATAGGCCTTTCTATATTTTAAATAATAATTTTGAAATTGGTCGAGTTCACAGGAATTATGTAAAACATAATAATTGTATCCATTAGAACAAAAAACAACTAAATTAATTTATAAAACTTGATCTGATAATTATACAATAACTATTCACCTTATATTTGTTTCACTTCATCTGTCTTTAAAGCAACTTCTGGAAAAATCTTTTTAAAATGTCATGGTCGTGATCTTACGAATGAAAAATAATTGGTTTCAATAAATGCAGTATAAATTGTTGTGTTAGAACTTCATTATAATGATGTCGTTAACACCAAAAAAAAATAATTAAATGACGCCCCAGTGGTGTGGTTCAGTGGTATCGTTTACAATACACACATTTTTCTACCGCATTCTATTCGACTTTTACCTAATATCGGGTTGAATTAGCGTTAAGTTTAAAGAAGAGAAGACAAGTGAAATACACTTAGGTAATTAAAAAATACCTAAGGATAGTGGACTAAAAGCAGAAGATCAGAAGATGCAGTTATATTTATGAATCGAAATTATAGAATCCAGCAACGTAATGAGCAGCGAGCTACTGCAGGAGATCGCGCAGGTTGCCGCTCGACACCTGAACTCTGTTAAAAACCCAAACACGCGACGTCGCGAAGCAAACCCGCGACGACGTGCGCCGCTCGCTCGGCCCTTTCCGCCTAGCCCTTCGAGGGCTTAACATTATTTTCCTATGTAAGTTCTAAAGTCCTTTTTAAAAGTACAATTTTTAATAACTCACGAATGAATTATTTGTTAGTAAACAATGTTCATCGGATTTGGCTAAAGTATAAATAGCTCTACCATAAAAAAGTATTTAATGTAATAAATATACATATAAGTAATAAATAGATCAGACACGTGTCATAGTCATTTCGAATCAACCATTCATTAATAATAATAATCTAAAAGATAATCGTGCTAATTAGAGGGCTGGTCATTTTTCAGATCAATTTAATGGTTTTCATGTAAAATGTATGTATAAATGTACAGCTGTAACTCTGAGGTAAAGTGGGAAAAAAACCGCATTGGTGAGTAAAAATTATTCGGGGGCAAGATCGCAGTATAATTGTCATTAAAATCCAAAGAAATCAAGATCTTGTACTTAGCACGTTTGTCTTTTAGAGAAGGAAATTCTTGTTATAAACGTGTTGAAACGTGTCTAGTTTGTTTAACATGTGTCAAGAAGATAATAGAAGAATTATTTAATATGTGAAGCATACTGATTAAATACTCAGGGACATATAACACAACATTACCTGAAACAAAACTAAGTATAGCTTTTATTATGGTTTTAGAACACGGATAAAAATTTCTTAAATTCTTTTAAATTGCAAATAAATACATGTTTATTTTACTTTGAAACATTTGAATTAGAGTTGTCTCTCTGTTGCTACCACTTTTTTTTTCGACCTCTCACTATCAAGGAATCAACTAACTTACTGACAGAGTCTAGGACTCTGCTTACTAAAACAGTAAGTTAGTAAATATAAAAACAAAAGGTTAGCTGTTCAAATAGACTCTCTGCCTTGAACGCATTGCCAGCGTCCATCTTATCATTGTAATCCCACAGATTGTGCTCAGAAATATCAGTATTTATCTGTACTTTACCATTATCTAATTATATTTTTTAGGTATCCAACCAGAAGATTTGGCGTTAAAAGAAGAGGATTGTACTTACCAACATTTAGAATTAGGTTACTGGTTGCATATTATCAGTTTTAGACAGTTGCTTAGTGACGCAGATCCAAGGTAAATTATTTATGGCTAAACCAAATCATTAATAAAATATACAAATAATTTAATGAAGCTTAATCTATAACAAAATTTCATCTATCAGTTTTAAAAACAATTGATTCTGACTTAATTGAGGGTAGATAAAAATATTTCTCTTTGAATAAGGACAATAAATTGAAAACTGTGTCAATATTTCCTGTGGGATCTCTTCTCTTATTGTTGCACGGTGTTATTTGGATTCCCGATTGGGTTGTCAGTAAATTACTGTAACGCAGTGGGCATGTCAGAATCATAAATCATTAACATTTTTAATAGGACATAGGTCTCTTCTTAGAAAGGAGGTTTTGACCTACTATACCACGCTTGCCAGATGGGTTCTTATAGGCTTTGTTACCAGTTTTCCTTCTCTTTGTAGTGCTGTTGTCTTGCGTAGTTAGCTCCCTTAGTCATGTCAGAATGTCATCTTTTAACGATCACATGATGTGTTTTTTCAGACTACCGTTAGACATATTATCAATGACGCCATCTACCAAAAAGGTACCAGAATGCCGCTTGGACGTAGATCCTTCGGAAGACTTCTTTATCGAACGCTTCACTAAGATCGACACGGAAGGATGGGAGCCGGTTCTTAGCTTAATGCATCAGTTTGCCGAGATGTTTAATTTCTATGACTATGTCACGCTTGGTGCTAAAATTGCAAAATATGTAGAAACTGTAAGTATAGTATGAAATAAAACACATGTTAATTTAAAAATATTTATTGTTAGAAATGTAATATGTTACTTAAGATAGATATGATATGAAGTATGCAATATATAGAAGGTGCCGCCATGTTGACCATGACTATTCGATATTAGGAATTTGTTTTTGATTTCAGCTAGTAACTCGTAATATAATGTGTTAGTGTTTAATGAGTTAAATACTTGTATGTGTAGTCAGTTTACGTCGGTACGGTCGGGTTTGAAATCGAAATAATTTGATCGCAGGTTCCGAAGCCTTGCGAAAGAATTTAAATTCTCTTGATTATTTTAACTTTCAACTCTTAATTAATTAAGTTGGAAGCCGATTTAATTCTATGAATTAAATTTTCTAAATGTAATTCAGATGACATTACTAGAATATGGCATCTCGGGGCAGAATTGATGAAGAAAGTTTTTTTTTCGTTTCAGTACACCATTAAAACGTGTTTGTTTTGCTTCCTCAATACTGTGTCAATACTGTAATTTATTTATTAGTAACGCTTAAGACGTCCACTACAAGTTACTTATTATGCGTATACTGGATAATTCATTTATATATTATCTATGAGAGATCGCAGGATTTTCTTTAGATTGCCTGCTGTTCTATTTTTGTTTAATATACAGGGTGTTAGGGGCGTCGTAACGAATACTGAAATAGTGCATTCAGTCCATTATTCTGAGTTAAAAATCATTGGAATTTTCTGGCGAAAATTAATCGTTTTATGCAATCAGCTGTCAAATGTAGGTGGGTAGTCTTTTAGAGAAGGAAATTCTTCTCTAAAAGACTACCAACCACGTGGTCCCCGTAGGTATCGCACAAAAGTAATACCAACATTTGTATTCCGTGCAATCGATTCATGTGTCGGTGGCCGGGGAGAGGTTCAGCGCGCTTCGGCTGTTTGATTAATTACATTGAAGTTTTTGATCGTATTCGGTATTTATTAAATATTCTTTTGGTAAAATGTGCTGTTTACCCGTGTGATATCATTTTTACAATAAAAGTGGAAAATTATTAAAAAAAATGCATACATTTTCTGGTAGAAAAATCCAATGATTTTCGACTCAGAATGATCGTTCGAATACACTATTTGAGTATTAGTTACACCGTCCCTTACACCCAGTATAATAGTGTGCATATAAGAAGAGGTAGTGTGCGTAACGAGCGTGTGTCGTACAGCGGCCGAGGTGCTGGGCGGGCGCGGCGGCGGCGGGCTGGTGGTGCGGCGCGGGCGGGGCGCGGCGCGTGCGCGGCGCGCTGCCTTGCCGCCGCGCACCGCCTGGCGCCGCGCGCGCGCCCGCTCCTCGCCGCGCACGCCGCCCGGGCGCTGGCGGCTCTGCTGCACATGTGAGTCGCCTGCCACACTATAACGTTTCTTAACTACTGCTACTCCTTAACCACACAAAGTAACCACTAATTTGATGAACCTGTCTATTAAAAACTATAGTATTCGTCATCGTTTAAGGTTCGGCTGACCGGATCACCCGACGACGTCGTTTTACCGTTAGCGTTCTATCGAAGATTTTAGACTGTGTTCGATCCACAGTCTTTGCTTTTTATAAGAATTTTTGATAAAACTTAAAAAAATTAAAAAAAAACCCAATCGGTCCGATCGTCCTCGAGTTTTGCGTTAACTGAAACGCTTCGCATCTATTTTATTTATATACTGAGACTTATAAATACAATATTTTTTTTACAGACAATCCAAACAACGAGATGCTAAAGAAGTGGCTTATTTATCTTTTTATGCCCAGCCGAAGAGTAAAATAGAAGCATTTCTAGTTGGTGTATCACATAGCTATTTAGTAAGTTTATTTAATTGTGTGAAATACTTCATTAATTTTGAAAACAAAAAAAAGTGTTAAGCATGAATATCTATGAGTGGTTCTATTATACCCATAAACACTATAAATCGCGGTAAATCTTCTATTACTATATCTCTAGGTATATTTATTTTAATTTGACACAATCGTTAAACTAAATTAAAAAACCAATAACTAATTATAGAATATTTAGCTGTTATTTAAAACTTAATAAGACTAAAGTTATTGTCCTAAAATGTTTAGGTATCATGTTAAAAAAAAGTTTTTTTAGGCTGAATACGAACCGGCCGTGTGGATGTACCGTTATGCGCTGACGTTCGACGACAAGTTCCTCCCCGCCAAAGCTTGCCTCCACGCCACCATGTGTCTGATGCTGTTCGGTGAAGCCGCTAAAACAAAGCCTATACAAAACTGAATTAGTAACATAAATATTTGTTTTTTTTTGTAATTCTAAATAAGCTGTCCATGCACAAGTCTTTTTAGAGGATGAAAGATCTTTCTCCAGAGGAGGTAGTCAGAGGATGGTCCTGGTGGAATGCGTTTATAAAACGAAAGGATCTATAAATCCGCAAATTATAAACGCTTACTGCGAGTGTTTTGATAACTGAAAAATTATTGTCAGACAATTTAGCCGGGCTTTGACATATTAGCAAATTCTCTTAAAGAATATACAATAACAAAAACCCATAATATTATTAGGTTATCAATTAGATACATTAAGGTACAACGATTTATAGTCCGATGTAAACTTAATGGCGGCTCTGAAGTTAGCTCTGAAGTTGGCTCTGAAGTCGACTTGCCTGCAGGTACCTAGAGTCAAGTCGACTCGACTGTACGTAGAAATAAGCGCGTATGTGCTGTGTACGGATGTAACTCACACACTAAAAGGGATGCGTGTCGTGTGTCGCCCTGCCCCCGCGCCCCTGTACGCCCCGCTGCTGCCTATTATTGTGTTCTGCGCATCGAAACGCACGATGTTCCGAGCCGCCATTCAGTTTGCATCGGCTTCTAAGAATGGACAGCTTATAAGGATTGCCTTTTAATTCATTATTTACATAAAGTACAACAACGATGTTTTTTTTTAACCAGCCACACTTGCCAATATTTATGTTGTTTACATATAATTGCTCAGAGATATACTTCCAGTATGAATCAAGAACATGGATTTTTATGATAATTGTAGTTCAAGTTCAAGATTACATTTGTTTTATAATGGTACATAGTTATATGATAAGTGTCCAAATAGTTATCGAATAGAGTGTTAACATTTTAAATAATTCTTGATAAATGTTACCAGTTTCTGCAACAAATATGAATAAAATAGGAACAATCATTATATTTAATTACCGTTCTTCGCAATCGTTTTATGATTTTGTAGTGACAATATGGTTACGCTCCGCTTAGTTTGATTGGGGATTTTTGGTCCATATGTTACTTGCTTTAAGCACTTTTACGTGGTTCGATATTTGAGTGGAATATCTTAGATAAAGTTTATACATGTTCTGAGGATTTAAATATTCAAACCTTGAAATAAGTATTTTCGTCGTTAATTACAATTTAAGTGTTAGTTTGTTATGAATTTTACAGACTAAAGTTTTGAATAAAAAAGTTTTTTATGAATATCTTAATATTGTAATATATATTCTGGATTGTCAAATTGAAATTGACAAAATGTCGGCTGAACTATGCTGTGTTGGCCACTTTAAAAATGGTGTAATTCTATATTTTTATTTTTTGTCCAATAAGAGTAGTCTGTCAGTTGAAATCATTTTTTTAACTAAGCGTCAAATTGCGTGTTATTTTAAAATTTTGATCATATACTAAAGGTTTATTTTCAATATAATTTATATTATTTTTTTTTTGGAAATCCTAGTTTTTCTATTTTTGTAATCGATAAAATATTGAGGAAAACAAACAAAAATAGCACGAGTTATGATAAAATTTGTAAGAAGACTTTTTTTTAAAAGTTTGTTTCCGCCTATGAGAACAAATGTTGAATCATTCCCTTGTTGTTGCCTTTATATTAAATATGCGTATTTGTTGTATGTAGGTATTATTGAAACCGTTCCTTTTTTATTATATCACTAGTCGTAATTAACCCATTTGTGCAACGATTTATTTATCAGTTAAGGGCAATACAGTGAAGAAAATCGGAGAAGTATTGTCTGTTCATAAAGGTATAAATCCGTCTCTTAACCATTTTTGTCAAATTCTCTCCCCTTTGATGTAAGCGAGTAAAACAAAGATGATTATAGTTTACTATTTTCATTCCAGTCGAATCCAACTATTTTTATGCTTCTCCGATTTCTGACCAAAAAGACAGATCTCGATGTATAAACAAAGTAATTATTAATTAATTGAAAATTCGTTTAATTATTTTTAAATTAAAAGTTTGTTAAAGTGTGGTCGGGGATATATAGTTATAAATTTAACTGTTATATAGCCAGGCCAGCGCTAGTATATAATACTTATTAATCGCGTTAATTTGCAAATACACAGTCAAATTAATTGGCCATAAACAATATAATAATAGTATTCATGTTTACAATTCATAAAAAGATAATCGCATGATTCGTTTTTGTAGTGCATTCAATCTTCAAATGGTTGTATATTAGTAGGCGTTTAAAAGAATGACTATGTAGACTATTTCCGAATATACCGTAACTATAATTATTTAAATGTAATCAAACTACTGTTAAGCAAAAAGCCTGCGTGCTATACACAATTTTATAGAAAGTAGTTCAGATTTCTGGTCCTATAAAAAATGATTTATTTATAATAGGAATAAAAGTACATTATACCACAAAATAGAATAAGGCTTAAATTAGTATTAAGATTTTATTTAAATATGTTTCTGTACAAACTTTGTTGGTCTTCTTTTGTAACCTCTTCTATTATGTAAGTCAGAACATACGGTAACCTAACAACTGCCAAGGATCACCAACCAACACAATCACAATATAAAGTATAGTCGTTTAAAGGAAGGGTTGTATTACTACGAATAAAGGAGTCTGTTTCGATCTGGCTGTACTAAACATTTTGTTGTTAATTGTATTTAAGACTGAAATGTTATCGGTTCCAATAAACTTACTGTTTTTCTATTCTTATTGCAGTGTTTTATTTTTACCATTTCATTGTCGACCATAGATGAATAAAAAATATTTTTTTTTTTATTGGTACACTACATAAATGGACATGCAATACAGGTTTTTATACCTACCTCAGGCATCAGCGATCAAATTGTCGAATGTTGTGACTAAATCTTAATTTTCATTGTATTTTAGTTTTGGTGAGAAAATAAACCATTCATTACTAAAGCAAAAGCAAAAGTTTCGATGCTAACTTTTATTACGTCATGCAGAAAAATATCCGTGCGAAACTTGGTCGTTACATCAAATTATTTAGGAAGTAGTAGAATACAATAGACTAAAGCCTACAGCAGCTGAGTAAGTGACCTTACTAGATCACGTATACAACGTTTTTAATGTTGTGAATGATAGATTGTGTAAAAGAAGTAATAATCTAATCCTAATATCCACAAATATAGGCCCAAAATTTAGAAGTCTCTATCTCATTTATAATAACCTCTGTGATTATGGTATATAATCCAGGCAGCGCTGACGGTGCAATGGTTAAAGTAGTCACCTCCCTACTACATCGCCTGAGTGTTGGGTACTCACCATAACATACAGGTGACGTAGTCGAGTAGTAGTTCTTCGTATTCGTTCTTTCAATATCTGTAAGGAGCCCCGCCACACAGAATTTATTTCTAATTAATATTGGTGAGTTGTCTTTATTTAAAGACAAATAAAACCAGAGGAAAGTCTCTTAAACAAAATGTGCTTAAATGTAGTAGAATTTGGGAGATTAAAAATTTTTAAAGATTGATGTTAATTTTAGTTGTATGCAGTCAATTCGGCAATCACGCTGCAATCAGTAAATATTACAGTATGATCATCCTAACGCGTATATGTGGAAACCTGAAACCAAAAATGTCTGAATATAAAATAGTTATATCCAGGATTCTTTTTTATTCATTCAACTCAAAGTAATAATTTTTGCCATCCTTTTAGGCATTAGAGAACTTAGACCTTAACTTACGTAATATAATTGATTGATCCACAGCGATGTTGATCTGCTCAGTAGTGGTGAACGTTGATAATGAAGCTCCGACAACAACTATTAGAACACGCACAAGAGTATTATCGTGTCACTAGTCCTGTGCAGTGCCCAATAGTTGTTTTGGACTTCATACATGTCTTTTCTTTCTTGCAAAACTTGAGCTGGAAAAGAATGTTAGTCAATGTGTTCATTTCTAAAGCAATTAGAATTTTAGAATTGAATTTGGAATACAATAATCATTTTTCACAGAAATTATGATAACTTCTTTACGAGATTAAGTTAATATATTAGTCTTTTTTCTAACTCACATTCTTCTAAAGTTAGCCAATAAATATTACTTATAGTTCAGAAAGCTCAGTCTTTACAACTTTTCGGAACATACGTAGCCCAAAGAAGGTAACAATGCCTTTTGATTCTCAAGGGGGCAGTCATTGCGGTTTTAGACTAATGCTTATAGAAACGTTTCCTAGGTCTCTTAGAGCAGGGAACTTGGTCCAGTACTCACCTCAACTGGCGAATCTCCTCTAAAAGGATCAAGGAGAAGGATTAATTAACATAAAACTGAACTGTGCGACAAAATATTTATAATAAAAAACCGTTGAAAATAAACCTAGCTGGAGCAACTGTACTGTACTGTACTGTACTGTATGCAAGTGACTTCCACCTATCTTATAAGGTAAATTTGGGGTTGCAACAATTTAATTGATTCAAATTTTATTCGAAATGAACACATTTTGAAGGTAATGTCTCGCAAGCACCTATGCAGTCAATACATTAGTTTTATAATTAGGTATTTAAAGTAAAACTGGATTTATTTTATTATTTACGACTTGTTTAGGTGCTAGAGATCACACTAGATAACAGGAATTGGTTTTTATTTATTAGCCATTACGACATTCACATATGTTAATACCTACGTACATATAAATAGCTTATCTATTATGATTAAGTAAGAGTCTTAAAGTACAAACATGTTAAGTATTATACATATTTTATTTTCTAATTTTAACTTATCATACTGTCGATACGAGTTCAAAAAAAGTGCTTATTAGTTAGTTAGTGCACATTATATGCAGCTGAATCAAACATTTCTGTTAAAGTTTTTCCTGGTTTACATTTACAGCCGATGTTTTTTTTTGTTATTTAGTTGCTTAGCAGCTACCACTTACCGGGGACTGCTACTTGATGAAGTTGCAAATGATAATGCAAGTTAATCAAGTAAGTGCCAGTGAATATCTTTGTTATTCTTTTACTCAAAATACTACTGAACAGATTCAGATTTGACATAGAAAT